CGTACCGAGGTTAGCAGCCGCCATTCAACGGCGTCAACAGAGCGCTGCTCACCAGAATTGAAGCCACGCCACTACCGCCTAACGGGCCCATAACGGGACAGGAAGCCGTTACCCAACCACTNTTTGTTATATGTTCTTTGTAGAAACTAAGAAAATTAAATTAATAAAGTGCGATTTACCAGAGCCCCGAAACTACAAATTTATTGTAACGAACCCTTGACACGGCGAGTATACACCAGCATCGTAGAAGAAGCGGCGGGGCGAGCAAAACGCTTCGTTACAAACAATTTGGATCCAATATATCATAGTTATTGCATTGTGGCAACTGTCTTTGAACTCACCACAGTCTATGGAAGGACAAAAGTGTTTCGTAAAAGCGCAGTTACCCACGGACACAAAAACGGAGAACGTGTCAGCTGACACGATCTAACTTATGGGATCTGCGTGCTAACAAAAAATCACCACCGCATGGCCGTGACGTAGACTTTACTTCTCCCTCGCACTTGATATCTTTCTACGTACTTCTACGCTACGCTACGTACATGTTCGTGGCTAACCGCGCTCTAACACAATTGTCAATTCTAGCAACTATCTTGAAAGCGATTTATACGACGTTTCCACGTTTCATAATTCGCTCTCTCATTCGTAACTCGCTCTCCTAATCGTTATTCGCCATCCAATTACCATTCGAATTACGTAATTCGCCATACAAAATTTTTTGAGCGAATTACCTCATTTGTAGGTAATTCAGATCGAATTAACATGCGAATGATGAACGAATCGGTGCCTTCTCTAATATTTATCGGAAATATATCGAAGTTTTCACCGGCCCGGTCCCATTTGCTGGCACTTTTTCTAGTTGCTGGAAAATTAATTAATAAAATGTTCTCTATATGAATTAAAATCTTTGATGGAAACCTAAACTTTGGCTCCATCTTCGACATTTGCAGTACACAAAAATAATAATAAATAGCGAAGAACAAAAACAAGAAGTAGAGCTGCCAAACGAATTACTAACGTGTGTCGTGGAAACGGTGTAATTCAAGATTTTTTTAGAGAGCAAATTACGAATCGTGGAAACATCGTATAACTGTCTTTCGAAAGACTATTTGAAGGATCTGCCAACGAGGAGATCTTAGCGTTTTGCAGTTCGCCTTTAGCAATAAGCTGTCCGCGCTGGTAAATATAGTATAGTTTTAGGCGCTAGTATGTTAGATTCTATTGGGAATTCTTTGGTAAGATAAAATACCAGAAATTAGTTTGAATGAATCATCTGTTAGCCTTGTGTTATTTCTATACAAATTCTGTAGAGCACGTGTGGTTTTTACTTGAGCTGAATGCTTAAATTCAATGAGGCACCGATTTGTTTCTGCCTATACTCCCCTTATTCGTGGCACATTGGGCGCGTTCATAAGACTTACATAGCTATTGTCTAACCGTTGACTGTTTTTCCTAGAAACGCACAGTTGACTAGCTCCGCTCAGTTCAACAGTTGGCAACTTTCCGCCATTTTCTCCATCGTACATTTTTTTCGATACCTGAACTAAACGTGTTTTGCTCAACCTAAAATCTTTATCGAAAAGATTTACGCCGCTAATCTACTATGCTCATAAATGAAGAGTGAGACCTAAATAAAATATTATGCCCTGGTTATCTATACATATAATAATATTGTAACAGGTCGAAGCCAAATCAACCATGTTTCGAATTTTTGTCTGTCTGTCTGTCTGTCTGTATGTTTGTTCGCAGCATCACTCGAAAACGAATGCATGGATTTGAATGCAGTTTTCACCGATGTATTGCTAGAGGTATAACTTAAAATATAGAAAGAAACAAATTAGAGAGTTGCCACCTGTGTTTAAAATTTCAGTTTAGGTCAATTGATGCGGTAAAGTGAATACTGCAATATGGCTGTCAAAAGAAAGAAATTTACAAAGGCTTACAGCGGAAAATATTTTAGTTGAAGGTTGCCACCTATTTGAAAACTTTAATTTAAGTTAATTGATAGCATAAATTAAATATTGCAATATTGGCATCAAACTAAAGAGGCTAGAAAATTTTAATGCTGAAAACATTTTTAGCGGATTTGCCAACTGATTGAAAAATTGTATTCATTAAAATTTGTTAAATAAATGAAATATTGCAATACGAATATTAAACTAAAGAGGATTAGGAAGCTTACTTTTGAAAATATTCTTGAAGCGGGTTGCCACTTATTTGAAAACTTTAATTCAGTTAAATTTATAATATAAACTAAGTGTTGCCATATGGGTATCAAACGAGAGTAGTTGAGAATAATAAAATTGCAGCAGGCCGATATCTGTACATAACAGATGTTAAAGAAAAATGAATAGGGGGTTATTATATCAACAGAAGCCAAATATAAAGTTTTGATATGTTTGTCTGTATGTTTGTAAGCGTATCACGCAAAAGCTAATGTATGGAATTAAATGCAGTTTTCACCGATGTACATACATATATTCCTAGAGCTCTAATTGAAAAAATAGAATCCATTTTTTTTTTAGTTTATCGTCGATCATTATTCCTAGGTATTTGAACGTATTAACTTTTTCCAGTGCGTCGTTGTTTATATTTAGAGTTAGCAACGCACCGTTCTCAAAATTTCGCCTTGATATAACCACAAACTTAATTTTTTTTTATTTCTGTTTGGAAGGGTTTTCGCTAAAAAAAATTTAAACTTTTCGTTGTTGCTGCCAAAAAAATTAAGAAATCTGAGACGTTACGTTTTACAATTTCATACAGTTCTCTTTACAATGCATTTCACTAAACTACTAAACGGCTGCATCGACTTGGTTCATATTTGGCAACACGTTGAAAATAAATATTCTGACCAAAAATTTACTCGGTATTTAGCTCGGGATATTCCTAAAATTCTTATACAGACTAAAACGTAAAAAACCAATATATCACTAAAACCAATTACGCTGGGGAACTGAAACTTAGCACTGATGCATATATTGCAAATGCATTGGGAAAGGGGGCGTGGCTCCTTCCTTCCATGCAAACTGAACTTCTCATATAGCTTATGTCTGGAACTGCTTACGCTAACGTCCTGAAATTCTACACAGCTACATATGTTATCAATACCGTAGTTATGGCGAAAAGTGATAATTATTGGAAAGGCTGGATCGATATACATTTACGTAAACGCGCAAGTATCATTCGATTGGGAACCATTTTCTCCTAGATTTCTAAATCCAATTGAACTATTGTAACTTGGTCTTTAATTTTAAGTAAGGTAAAATTTATGTGAAAATTTTGAAGAATTTTTTTAAATTTTTTTTGCTTTTACGAGTTTTGCTATAAACTGTCCTCTCTACATACCTATTTGCATAAAATGATAGCCGTTTTCGTTGTTCGGAATAAACTCAAAAAACACTGAATAGAGTTCCGTCAGATTGTCGGAGGTTATCTTACATACATATATGGTCCAATTACATGCTACTATAAAACTCGCTAGGTGGTGCTGGAGTAGAGTTATTTATAAAAATCGTATTTATTAACCGATTTCGTTCAAATTTTAAATGTGAGCTATGTACCTGTATGATGGAAAATTCTTTTGATAAAAATTTACCCGATTAGTGCCGCTGGAGTTAAGGTTGAAATTCATAACACGTATTCATTTTATGGTAAGCAATGGTTTTGCAGAAAATGAACCCAAAGGATAGCGCTGCAGCCGAAATGTATAGAAACCCCGTGGGGTTGGTCTGTTTTGGCCCTATGTTTAAGTTATACGATTTTAGTTTTCAGATGGCTAAATGAATGATAGAGTTAAGTTTTTCTGACGCCCTCATGCACGATCATGCGGTCTTGCATCTACCCAGAAATCAGTTCATAAATTTTACCACGAATTGTAAAAGTGGCGAATTAAAAAGGAAAGATCACCGTGCTTCATTAGAAAGATACTTAAGAGATCACACGACTCATTTAGCCATGTACCGGAAAACTTTTCATCCTGTGGGACAGCGAGGATTATTTGCCCTCCTATAACAGAAAACGCACTTCTGTGCTCTTGAGTTTCCCTATAAGAACTGTTATTGGCATACGCATCGCACCAATGTTGTAGTTGCAAGATCATACAAAAAGATTACGCATGCTTGGCAGAGATCTCACAGGTGGAAATAAGACCATCGGTAAAGCTCATGAAACCGAAAGGGATTGGTATTCCATATGGTATCACAGGGTTACTATTATTGGCCTATGTGTGAGGAGGATACTGCGCCTTAGCGGTTTCAACTTAATTCAAAAATTTTGACTTTACAGACTAATTTTGTTTTTAAACGCTCTTTAGCATTGGCTAACGCAAAAGCTCTTATTAGGTGCCGCGAAGTAAGCGGGCATTGGCTAGTATTTAATAAAAAACTATTTCACTTAAGCTTAACCAACTTTTAATTGCTCGGAGCTAATTTTGGAATGGTTCATGGAATATTTTCATAGACGGTAAATGAAATCCTGGCTGCATCGTTAGTGAGCTGAAAACCAAAACAAATTAAATTTGTGGAATGGAGCCTTTTGAAATGGCCTTTACAAATGGCAATGGAATTTCGACATTATTCAAGGAATCGTGAATATAAGCTTAATATTGACCTGATTTTTTTTTAATAAATACCAGGAATAAATATTTAATAAAAAACTATTTCACTTAAGCTTAACCAACTTTTAGTTGCTCGGAGCTAATTTTGGAACGCTTCATGAAATATTTTCATAGACGGTAAATGCAATCCTGGGTGCATCGTTAATGAGCTGAAAAACCAAAACAAATTAAATTTGTGGAATGGAGCCTTCTGAAATGGCTTTTACAAACGGCAATGGAATTTCGACATTATTCAAGGAATCGTGAATATAAGCTGCCTTCTATTTGGCATATTTGGGGGTTAAACTTTCAGAAAGTTCCAAAAAAAAAACAACATTATTTTCTATTTTTATTATTATATATTTTTGAAATAAAAATATTCCACTTTGTACACCAGACAATTTCTTTAAACCATCTTGCGCAGCAGTTTGTTGATATTATCTTCACGGTTACCGAAATCACCAACCCCAACGTAGTGGCCACGGTAAGTTCGAGGCTTTCTTGAACTGGAATCCAGTAGCGCCAAATAATCAACGCACTGAATATCGTGCGCTTTGTCCAATTTGCGTTCGATCACAAAGTTGTCAGAGTTTGGGACACGTTGGTTGTGCTTGACCATTCCATGTTTGTAGATCAATTCACGAACTGATATAAGATTTGGATAGCCCCATGTAATATAGGGTTCGGCAATCCGTAGCATATTAATGGTTATATTGTTCAATTCTATGAACAAACCGTTGTTAATGTGGCGAAGATGGAACCACAGTAAAACTTTACGCACTTTTGGTGCAACTTTGTTGATACCGCATTCTGCGGGCACGTAGAATGGGCCGCGTTTCTTTGCCAGACGGCGCAACTTTATCTCACGGCGTCCATCAGGAGATATTTTGCTTGATATTTCTCAGCACGCTCCAAGTTTTCACGCTTGCGGAGTGCAATCACAGCAGAGCGCTTTAGTTTACGCTTGATCAGGGTAGCACGTTTGCTTACCTGCTTCCTGCTTAACTTTATCTTCGACTCGGGGACAGCAGGCAGCTTCCTGGAAGGTAGTTTTCCCTTTGCTTCGGGCTTCTTACCGGCTGTGATAACAGTCAACTTATCTTGTCACTTAGCACGTTGAAAAGGCGAAAAGNATCACAGCAGAGCGCTTTAGTTTACGCTTGATCAGGGTAGCACGTTTGCTTACCTGCTTCCTGCTTAACTTTATCTTCGACTCGGGGACAGCAGGCAGCTTCCTGGAAGGTAGTTTTCCCTTTGCTTCGGGCTTCTTACCGGCTGTGATAACAGTCAACTTATCTTGTCACTTAGCACGTTGAAAAGGCGAAAAGAAAGTTCGCCAAATATTTGGAGCACATCTTAAATAACGCCACTCGATTTATAGCATTTCTATTAAACACAATTTAATTTAATTTATTACTTTTTTAATACATAGATATGCTGCAACCAGGCACTTACTTTCCCAAATTCCTTCTTGCTTATAGGCATAATTTTCCAAATGTGCCTGAGATGCTACTTCATACTAATAACTTCATTTTCCAACTGCGCCCTCTTTGTTGCCTCAACATATCCTAAAAAGACATAAAATTTACATTAAACAATAGAAATCGCAAAAGTTGGAAAATAAAATACTCCCTTCATTTTGTTTTGTTGTCAAATTTCTGAGAAATGTGAATTCACCACGATGCAATACAGAAAGACCAAGGACCAGGTATGTAATTTCAAGTATTCAGTGGCAATGCGCAGAGCGTTCCGAGTAGCAAAATTAATTTGTATCAAGTATAACATTAAACGGTAGTTCTAATACATTTTTTAATATTAATAATCAGAGTACATGGTATGGAGTATGGCATTTCTTTCAAAAATTAATGCACTATATGCATTTTCTTTTAAGTTTTTCTTAAGTGTCTTTCATTAGTGCTGAAAAGCAACCCTGCGCGTAAGAAATTATGTGGTACTTAAAAATTCACCTCTGGAAACTTTATCCCCATAAAGGACTTCACCACAGTTTTTTTACTGGATATACTGAGGGACGGACGGACGGACGGACAGACAGTCACCGCTTAATCGTTTTTTTTTCATTCTGATCATTTATGTATATATTTGTCTATATCTATCTCCATTCGTTTTGCCTGTTACAAACAACCGTTATGTGAACAAAGTTATAATACCCTTGTGCACAAGTGCTCTCGGGTATAAAAAAATTCAGATTTTTCTTAATTTTAGCACAAAATATGAAATTTGGATTTAAATGACGTTTGTAAGTAATCAGCTTCTTCTTCTTCTTCTTCTTTTTTGGCGCTGTAACCGCCTAAGCGATTTTGGCCGAGTTCAGCAAAGCACGCCAGTCGTTTCTCCTCTGTGCCAACTGACGCCAATTGGAAACGCCAAGTGAAGCCAAGTCCTTCTCCACCTGATCTTTCCATCGCAGTGGGGGCCTCCCTCTTCCTCTGCTACCACCAGCGGGTTCCGAGTTGAATACTTTCAGAGCTGGAGCGTCGGTGTCCATTCGAACGACATGACCAAGCCAGCGGAGCCGCTGTATTTTAATTCGCTGCACTATGTCCATATCGTTGTAAAGCTCATACAGCTCATCGTTCCATCGTCTGCGGTACTCGCCGTCGCCAACGCGTAAAGGCCCGTAAATCTTCCGCAAAATCTTTCTCTCAAACACTCCAAGAGCCGCCTCATCGGATGTTGTCATTGTCCATGCTTCTGCGCCATATACCAGCACGGGCATGATGAGTGACTTATAGAGCGTGGTTTTCGTACGTCGAGAGAGGACTTTACTCCTGAATTGCCTACTCAGTCCAAAGTAGCACTTGTTGGCAAGAGTGATTCTACGTTGGATTTCAATGCTGACATTATTATCGGTGTTAATGCTGGTTCCCAAGTAAACGAAATTCTCTACTTTCTCGAAATTGTAACTGTCAACAGTGACGTGGGTGCCAAGGCGCGAATGTGCTGACTGTTTGTTTGATGACAGGAGATACTTCGTCTTGTCCTCGTTTACCACCAGACCCATGCGCTTTGCTTCCCTATCCAACTTGGAAAAGGCAGAACAGACTTCGCGGTTTTTGTTACCGATGATGTCGATGTCATCGGCATAAGCCAGCAATTGCACGCTCTTGTAGTAAATTGTTCCTGAGCGGTTCAGTTCTGCAGCTCTTATTATCTTCTCCAACATCAGATTAAAGAAGTCACATGAAAGGGAGTCGCCCTGTCTGAAACCCCGTTTTGTGGCGAACGGCTCGGAGAGGTCTTTTCCAATTCTGACGGAGCTGGTGGTATTGCTCAACGTCATTTTACACAGCCGTATGAGTTTTGAGGGGATGCCAAATTCAGACATAGCGGCGTATAGGCAACTCCTTTTAGTGCTGTCAAAAGCGGCTTTAAAGTCGACAAATAGGTGGTGAGTGTCGATCCTTTTCTCGCGGGTCTTTTCCAAGATTTGGCGTATTGTGAATACCTGGTCTATGGTGGATTTGCCAGGTCTAAAGCCACACTGATAAGGCCCAATCAGTTCATTGACGGTGGGCTTCAGTCTTTCACACAATACGCTCGATAAGACCTTGTAACCTATGCTTAGAAGGCTGATCCCGCGGTAGTTGGCGCGAATGGCGGGGTCACCTTTCTTGTGGATTGGGCAGAGCACACTTAAATTCCAGTCGTCGAGCATGCGTTCATCTGACCATATTCTGCACAAGAGTTGATGCATGCACCTTATCAACTCCTCGCCGCCGTACTTGAATAGCTCAGCTGGCAGGCTGTCAGCTCCAGCGGCTTTGTTGTTTTTCAGCCGCGTTATTGCTATACGTACCTCGTCATAGTCAGGCGGTGGAACGTCGACTCCGTCATCATCGACTGCGGGCTCGGGTTCTTCTTCTCCACAACTTTCTGTGCTGCTACCATTTAGTAGGGCGGAAAAGTGTTCCCTCCATAATTTAAGTACGCTCTGGACATCAGTTACTAGGTCGCCATTATTGTTCTTACAGGAGTGCGCCCCGGTCTTTAAACCTTCCGTAAGTCGCCTAACTCTCTGGTAAAATTTTCGGGCATTCCTCCTGTCGGCCAGCATTTCAAGCTCTTCGCACTCACGTATTTCTGCCTCTCTCTTCTTGTTGCGGCAAATACGTCTCGCTTCCCTCTTCAGATCCCTATAGCGGTCCCACATAGCGCGCGTTGCGCCCGATCGCAGCGTGGCCCTGTAGGCGGCATCTTTTTTCTCTGCAGCTTCCTGACACTCCTCATCGTACCAGTTGTTCTTTCGGGCTCGCTGAAATCCGACTACTTCTTCGGCGGCGGTACTTAATGAGCGGGAAATGTGGTTCCACTGCTCGCATATGTCGGTTTGTTGAAGAGTGCTCTCTGAGAGCAGGTGTGAGAGTCGAGTAGCGAAAGCGCTGGCTGTCTGTTGTGATTGCAGCTTTTCGACGTTAAGCTTTCCTTGCATATTTGGGCGCACATTTTTTGCTGCACAGAGGCGGGTGCGTATCTTGGCTGCAACAAGATAGTGGTCCGAGTCGATGTTTGGGCCTCGGAGTGTGCGTACGTCTAAAACACTGGAAGCGTGCCTTCCGTCTATCACAACATGATCGATTTGGTTTCTCGTCTTTCGATCCGGAGACAGCCAGGTAGCTTGATGGATCTTTTTATGCTTGAACCTAGTACTGCATACTACCATGTTTCGGGCCCCGGCGAAGTCGATCAGCCTCAATCCGTTGTCGGACGTTTCGTCGTGGAGGCTGAATTTTCCGACGGTGGTTCCAAAGATCCCTTCTTTGCCCACCCTGGCATTGAAGTCGCCAAGCACGATTTTGATATCATGACGGGGGCAGCGCTCGTACGTGCGCTCCAAGCGCTCATAGAAGAGATCCTTGGATGCCTCATCCTTCTCTTCCGTCGGGGCATGGGCGCAGATGAGCGAGATGTTGAAGAATCTCGCTTTGATGCGGATTGTGGCTAGACGCTCGTCCACCGGGGTGAACGACAGTACTCGGCGACGGAGTCTCTCTCCCACCACAAATCCAACTCCGAATTTGCGCTCCTTTACATGGCAGCTGTAGTAGACGTCGCAAGGCCCCAGACATTGTTTGCCTTGCCCCGTCCAACGCATTTCTTGGATGGCGGTGATGTCAGCTTTTGTCCTTACGAGGACATCAACCAGCCGGGCAGAGGCACCTTCCCCATTAAGGGTCCGGACATTCCAGGTGCATGCCCTCAAATCGTAGTCCTTTAAACGTTTGCCGTGGTCGTCATCATAAGGGGGGGTCTCATCCGAGGCTTTGCCTTGCTTCTTCACTGGAAGTGGTTTTTACGTGGCGGGTCCCAAGCCCAGCGCACAACCCATTGCTGGGACGGGGGTGGTTTCGCAACCAAATACACGTTTATATAGCGAGCCGCTTGCTCCAAGCAGACACCCGCTTGCAGCCGCACCTACTGGTGAACAGACGCTTCAGACTTCAGTGAGCCCTTAAACCGAATAAGTCAGAGTGGCCCCACTGAAGCTCCCTCTCTTTCTGCCGTGCCCCAAGGCTCCACTCGGATGGGTTACCGCATCTCGCACATGGGTTGCTCACGTTGCCCAGAGTGCGCGAACGAGGACGCAAGAGTCGGGATTGAGTATAGTCATGCAACTGTAACTGCATACCCAGCGCAATGACTATGTATACCCCATTGCACTCCACTATCAGCTAGACTTCC